CTTTCAGGGAGCTGTAGAGAACAGCAAGGTCCCCCCCGAATCTCCTTTTCTCCAGGCTGAGCCTCTGCAGCTCCCTCAGCTCCTCCTCATCAGACTTGTGCTCCAGACCCTTCTCCAGCTTGGTTGCCCTTCTCTGGACTCGCTGCAGCACCTCAATGTCACCAGTGCCCAGCACAGGGGGATGGTCACTGCCATGGTCGTGCTGGCCACACTATGTCTGATACAAGCCAGGTGCTGTTGGCCTTCTTGGCCACCTGGGCACACTGTTTTCATTCTAGTAGGGCCCTTGGATTGATTCTCCTGCTCTTCACCCGCTGACGTTGCCCACCATTGTCTGCAAACCACTTTCATTCTGATCCAGGGGGGCTAATAGGATGTCAGGTACATGTGCCAAATTATTCACACTCTTTACTATATCAGAGCCTGCATGATCCAGTGTGGGAAATGAAGGGCTTTGCACTTGCCATTAACTTCACAACATCCATATTCTTTTATTTTATTTTTCATATCTGTCATACTTTTGTGTCCTTAGTGCTGTGCAGACCAAGAAGAGGGTCTGAGTTATAGTTTTTAGGAAGGTGGAGTTCTTTCATTTCTTTTCAACTTCCACAGAAGAAATAGCCATGCAGCCATTAGTGAAGTGTAGAGATGTTGTTTAAGACAGCAAAATCAATTGTTTAGGGAAAGAAATAGGAGTTAGAAACAGAGAGAAGAGAGATGTGAAAGGACAGTCTATGAGTCACAGAGTTTGGCTTCTAAGAAGTTACTTAAAAGTAAAGTTAAACTCTGGCTAAAAATGCTAAATAAAACTTTGGTTCCTTATCAACCCTAAAGATCAAGGCTCAGTTTTGTTCCATTTCTTATTTTGGCCACCCTTATTTTAGATTTGAGCCTCCACTCAGTGAAAAAGTGTTAAACCAGCCTTTCCCTCTGGTGATCTGTACAACAAGATCTGCAGCAAAAATGAGATCACACAGGTAGTACACACAGTAAATTGTGCAAAAGATGGTAGATATAATTTTAAATCACATGTTTGAAAAACATTAAAATGATGAAAATTAGAACAATGGCTTTTTTTTTTTTTTTTTTTGCCCCTTATGTTTAAATCATCCCAAAGAACATGTTTGAAACAGCTTAAAAGTTGTGAAGTTTCTTACTGTCTCTGTACCATGGAGGGTGCTGCGAGCTCTGAAGCGATGTTGCCACCTTGTGGAACAGGAAAAAACTCTATTCATTTAGGGAAAAAGAAAAAAAATTACTAGCTTTCCCTCCCTGTATTTGCTGCCTAATTAGAAAGAACGATCCTGTGAGCTGGGAGGAAAAGGGACAACAGGCTGAGGATGTTCTGGAAAGGAGCTGCGATTGGAGCATCCATTCCTCCATTGGTCATTCTCAAGAAGAAGAATATTGCCCTTGATTTTCTTCTTTTTATTTCGCATCCCCTGCACCCATTTTTTTTCTTTTCTTTCTCAGGAACTGGTTATCTGCCCATTGTCTTGCAAGTAAAACTCATAATTTTCATAAAAGGCCATGGATTATCATCCTGTAAGAAGCAAAAAGAAAGATCCCCTGGCTTTTATGCTCTGTGGTCCTGCAGTCCTTGCACAAGCAAAGTTCCCGTTGACTTATGGCAGATTTTTATCTGGTTTCTGAAGCCACACTTCCAGTGAGATTCATAAAAGAAACCTTCAAGACCTGTGGGTACCTGCCCAGCTTGTGTGGGCCAACGCTTTGGAGAACACACATCACTTTTATGCTCAGGAAATCAAAACTGGGCACAGGGAAACGATCACTTTAGCTTTCAAAAAGAGTGAGTGCCTGACCTGGAATTTGCAGTATGTAATTTCAGTGTGGATGGGGAGATTTTGCTGTGTTGGGCAGGAGGATGCAAACCAGTATCACCAGGAACGGTGGTTCTGTCACACACGGCCTCGCTGGCTGGAGGGCAAAATCCAGATTCCTCACACATTTACCTTCTTTATTCATCTTAATAGTATCCAGGGCTGACCTGCGGAGTGGAGAATTTAAGGGAGGTTCTCAGAAAAGTTTAATGCATGGAGGGATTATCCTACCTTTTTCTATTAAGTTTTAACTTTCCTGAGCTACTCCATCTCGCCAGAGCAAAGGGGTAATATATTTTGTATCTACCAACGGGCTCTAAACACCCATAAATTATTATTATCAGGGATTCTAGAAGCTTTTTTTTTTTTAATAACAAAAATTTGTCTCTGGTAAAATGGGAGTTTTTGTTTAAAACCTGTTTTAATTAAAAAAGGGGAGTTCTAGTTTTCAACAAATGCCCAAATGCTAGGATTTTTCTGTATTTCATTATTTCTCTTTTCTTTTATTTTCTTCTGCCCTTGCTGCTTTTTCCAGCAGTAAAACAAAGTAAAATAGAATATGAAATAAAATAAGATAAACCAAAACAATTTAAAAATAAAATTTAAAAAATTCAATCGAAGCCCAAAACTTAACAAAATTAGAAGAGGAATACGACAGTGTAGAGAGAAGATGAGGGAAAAAATGGAAATATCAATGAAAGCACGTAGTTTTAACTCTTCCCCTAAAATAAATAAAAAAAATATTGAAGGCTTTTTTTTTTTAAATGAAAACTCTTCACTGTTTCTGTTTCTGGTCAGCACTATTTATAAGTGATCGCCGCTGAATCGTTCAGCCTCTGGCAACGTCAGCATCCGAGCGGCGGTGGGTAAACAGCAGCTCCCGTCGTACAATGTGAGTAACAAACTTCCATTTACAAAATATGTTTACCCCCACTATGTGCTTGGGCATGAATGCTACCTTCTTTTTTGTCTCCAGGTCTGGATTTCTCTCCAAAGAGTCCTGGAGAGCCCTAAGAGCTCCAGCGCTTCCCGCGTACGTGCGTGGACACACACACACACACAAAGCGGCTTCGGAGCCTCCCACCTTCCCACTGGGACATGGTTTAGCAAGTTATAAATCCAAACCCATCCCAAGAAAGAAGGTCTGGCCAGCATGGCATTCCTGCTTCATGCTGCCTATGGCTCCGAGGCTTTGGTGCTAAAGGAGTAAGGGGAAAATTGGTGTTTCAGGTCTTTTTTAAAAAACAACCCAAATCAAACTGTTGGACACTGAGGTTTGGGCCACCCCAGCAAGTTAAAGGCACTGGGGGATCCTGAGCCAGTTGATGAAAACACAATGCCATGATAAGCTCCTCTTTGGTGGCATTGGGGATGTTGGGACCTGAAACTGGAGGATTTCTGCCTATGCCCACCCCTCCTTAACCCAGCACAACCCCAAAATCCTCATTCCCACCAGACACATTGCCAAACCTCTGAGTTATTCCCATCCTAGCAAGTAAATGGGATGGGCAGCTACAAATACCTCCCTTCCATATTAGCCCACACTGAATCACTTTGAAATGCTATGGATGTTTCCAGCAGGATCAAAGCTGGGCTCTTGTCCACACCAGTTCAGCACTGGGGTAAACACATCCCTTGAATAGAGTCAGATTTGTCCAGAAAAGGGAAAGGAAAGAAGGAACATTTACCTTCAATGCTATATTATTGTTATGTGTCCCTTTCTTTTAGATCATAGGGAAACAAATTTATCTCCAGAGCCCCCCTTGAAAGAGATGGATTCACAGAAATTTTGACTGAGAGTGTAGTTTAACAATAATGATAATTTCTTGTTCGGTCATATTTTACCTGGAAACAAGTCAATGTCTATAAAAATGCTACAATGAATTGACAAAATAATTCCTGGAATATTTTCCTGCTCTTTTTCTTGCACAAGGCAATTCTTGTTTGCAAAGACAAACTCCTGGTAATAGAAGTGCTGAAGCATTGAAAGGCACAGTAGGCAATTTCATGGTCAGTGGCATACTTTTATTTCAAAATCATGCTGGACAACTAAGATAAATACATGGACAAATTTGCAGATTAGGGTAAAAAAAAGCTTGTTGGCAGCTAATCAGGCCTGGAAGGTGAACTCATGCCTTTAGCCATTTACTCTCCATCAGGTGCAATAGAGTGCAAAGGGATGACCAGTTTTCCCATTCCAAGCCTATGGTGCTACTGGGAGCAGCATGAAACTCCCCCAACAACTGTGTGAGTGTTGATAACCTTGGGCTTGAGCAGTGATTCCGTGGTTTTTGAGTTTTCCCTTTGTCCCTCCCATCCCAGCCCCATCTTTCCCCCGAAAACATGACAGCTCCTTCCTGAGCAAATGACTGAAAATGCTGGTGTTTGGACTATCAGATTTTTCCTTTGGACCAGTGAAGTGAAAGGAAGGAAAAAACCATCACGTACTAGAGAAGGAAAATTTAAATCACCAAAATGAAATAAAACAGAAGCTGGGCAAAGCTGTTTTTAATGAAGACCATTACGGGGAGAGGTGGCGTTTTCCTTCCCTCTGTGTTTGTATGTGTGCAAACCCTTTTCTATCCGGTCACAATCAGGGAGCTGAAAAATCTGTCTTTAATTGCACATGTTGTAAAAATAATCACATAGGAGGCTAAACCAGCACTAAAAATGTGGATTCTTGACTTGTTGCCCTGGCGTGGAACATCTTTCTATTGAACTGCTTATAAAGCAGTAAACTATGAGTCAAAATTTCTTCAAGAAGATGCCTTTTCTTGTTATGGTTATTTCACTTCAGAGGGTGTTTCTTGGCTTTGCCAGAAAAAGGAGATGGTGGGGAATGTTTGCTCTGTCTTAAAAGACGCCTTTGTTTTTAATTATCCTTGCTGCAAAATACAGTGAGATCTTTCTGCTTCCATTTTTTTTTAGCTCAGATAAAATTCTCAGCATTTCAGCATTTTTTTTTCCTCCTCTGCAGCTTTTTCCCAATTGAACTGTTATTTATTACTTCTTTACTACCTTTCACACAGTTAAATGAAAATCTTGATGCTTAATGGTGAAAACACCCAAAAGGAATTTAATTTTATTTTCAGGGTAACGTCGCCCTCAAAAGAACAATCTACCTCCAAACAATGAGAAATTGTTTCTCCAATCCCACCTACCTTTCTCCTCCTTCCTTGAGTCTTCTGTTGAGTTTCAATCCCGCTAAGGGAAAAGGGGTATTTTGTTAGTTTGAAATCAGATTGCTCTTGCCTTTTTAGTACCTTTATAAATCCAGGAACATTAGCTGAAATGAAGTCTAGTGCAAAATGTTTCCTTTCTATGGGACCTAACACATTGAAGGGTGCCAGTAGGTGGTCACTGTTCATAGACTTTAAAATGCAGATTAAGCCCAGCTGAACTGTGCCAAACCTTGTTCAACCCCGTTGAAGTCCAAAATAAATTCACACCTCCTCATTTCTGTCCTATTAATCAATCAATTCAAGAAACTGCAGTCTGTGGTGGGTATCAGTCAGAGACTTGTCTGTTCACTTGGGCTGATGCACAGAATAAATGTTTTCATATATTTTAAAATTAATTTTATTTCCTGTGTCTATATTTTTAATTTTGTTTTCTTTTGCAAGAATGCAACTGTGACTACCTGTTGTCAGGAAGACCATAAATTTCAAAGTTAAAATAACATTATATTCCAGTATTTGTTTTTCAGGGGGAAAAATCAAAATAGCAATCTAAAAAAAATAAAGAGGAAACTGTGAACCCTGCTTAGTATAAATGTACAATAATAAGATTTATTTTTACTTTGGCTGTTTGAAACTTCTCTAAGTTTATGCCAACAAACATAACTAGAGTCCTAGAATGATCATAATCCATCCACACCAAGTACAAAGAAGGGTTTCTCTTTTTTATGGAGACTTGACTTTCCAAAGTTAAATTGTTACACGAAGCAAGGGCAACATTAGCTAATATTAATGACTTCTAATTATTTGCACTTTTAATATTCAGGTTTCCAACAGCTTTGCACAGAGCAACGAGATAAGCATCCCAGGAGCCCCATGGAAAAGGGAAGAAGTATTCTCTCCATTTTGTACCCTCAAACTAAGGCACAGAGAAATTTAGGCAAAATCTGATGTTAAGTAAGTGGCAAAACAAGCAACAAGATTCAGATGGCTTCTTGTTTCAGCCACATGAAAAAATTCCTTCCCCGTAAAATAATAATAATAACTACTTTCATACCAAGGAATCCAGGCAGGATGGCAAAGGAGCACCTCCTAGGCTGATACTTCCCTTGGCATTCCCTAGTTTGCCAAAACAAAAGGGTCTATGGAGAAAATGTCAACGTTGCTACTTTGTGCCTGTGAGACACCAGTGCCTCAAAAGTAGCAAAATTCATCTTCACTCATCCGCAAAAAGAGAATGCAAAGGAAACAACTACCAAAAAAATGCAAATTAAGCAACTAGATCTAAATCAGTCCATTCAGGGTGTTACCAGACTTAGATATATACAGTTGTGTAATCATCCTTTTGCTCTTTTGTAATTTCTTTTCCTAAGAATTCCTGATACACATGTTATCTGACATAACACAGCACAGACAAGATTTCCAGAGAATTAACTGTGGTGACTCAGATGTCATTCCTGGGTGGTAAAAGACATTTTGTACTCCATCATTGCACATAACTCAGTTAATATTTTTTGTATGAGCCCAATGCTTTTTTATTGATGTTGCATTTGATTTGTCATTTTATTATCTGGTGAATTTTTTTCATGAATACATTTCAACTTTGATGACCTTGGATAAACCATTATTTGCTCCCCTCAATCTCTTCCTAAATCTTCTGCAAATAGGTTGAACAGCACAAGTCTTACCTCATCTCTCTGTTGGGTATCATTCTTAAAACCAGCCATTTATTTCAGTCCTTAACTTGTTTCCAACCTTTCAACCATTAACCCATGTCAAGATACTTCTTATTACACCATGAAAGGTTAATTTCTTAAAAATACTTTACTAGATCTAGAATTCAGATTGCTCAGAGCACTGTCCAATCTGACCTTGAATGTTTCCAGGGAAATTTAATACAATGTCAACCAATGTGCATTAAAGAGAAGTTAGAATATTATCTGGCATTCCCAAGATGATGTTTGGAGCTTTAAAGATAACTTTATAAACGCTGTAGTCTTCTTATCTACAGTGAAAATACTTATACAGTGAAATCACTATATAAGTGGTGGATCCCATATCACAATTAGGAGGTTTGCTGCTTTGTGAGTGAGTTTCCTCAGAACTTGTGAGTGAATGACATCCAGTTTTGGTTGCTTTTTACTGTTACATTTTATTGGCTTGTTCTAAAATTTCTGCTAATAACTCTTCATCTTGACACAGCTCTTGAGCTTAATCCACCACAGAGGAAAATTTTGTTGTAAGAACCTCTCACCGCTTCTCAAAAAAAAACTATTTTGCTTTTCTGCTGTGGTCTTATCTTGTCTAAGAACTGTCTTTTCTTTGAATCAGCTGTTACTTCTTTGGACTCTCTGGTTTTCAAAGAAAAGCGTTTGGAAGATTTTTCTTAGGGTGTTTTTAAATGGTTTTGGCATGAGTTTCCTCAAATTATTTCTTGTCCTGCTTTATTAATGTTTCATATTTAATCAAATGTAGTATTTGCTGCTGTTTTTCCTTCCTTTATAAAAAACTTCTGAGCTTTTAAAGGGGGAAATCATGGGAAATTTTAGGGAGAATTTTAGTTGATCAATATCATAAATCATTACAGTACCTCATCTTTAAAAGTCTCCATAGCAACTACAGCCATTTAAGCCTTTTAGCTGTGCCTTTCTATTTCCTAAAAAAACCCTGACCTCCTCATTTTCAAGTGGTTCCATTCTTCCATTCTTAAAGTTAAATATTACAGTGGTAGGTACCTTTTTCCTTGCTTTTTTGCATTATGGATGCTGTGTCTTGCTGAGACTTAAACCTGTTCAGTTCTTCCTGTTAGTCCCACTGTTTTTGTAGCAGTTCTGCTACATTTTGTAAATGCAACATTGTCCATCATTTTTTAGAACAGAAAGGAAATGCTCATCATAATGATGATTATTAGAGGGTCTACTTGGAAAAAAAAAGACAAATATTTTTAAGAAGAAATTAATTGATTGGAAAATACCTTTTTTTTTTCTTTCTTTGGAGAAGAATGAAAAAAAAAGAAAAGAAAAAATATTCAAATATGAAAACCTTCTCTTATCCTTCTCAGTTGAAATGAAAGACAGCTTTCCCATGCCAAAGCACGTGAATGGAATCACTTACTTTGCCTCTGGAAACCTAGTTATCAAGACTTGGAACTGTGTCCTAAAGCCACCAAAAGCCAGTGCCATTTATGTCTCCTGAAGCATATAGAGAATTTGGGATGTTAGGACCACTCACACAGTTTGGAAATGGCAAAGCACAGCCTTCCATAAGACACTTTTATTAATATGCACTAGCTTATCAAAACCCCAGCTCCTTTTAAAACTCTAGCAGAAGAAGTAACTGGCTAATTAGGAATCCCCAGGAGCAACAAATAACTATATAATGAGCCTTGATCTGGCTGAAATGAGCTAATTTACCACAGTGCCTTTAGCTCCCGTTTGCATATGACCACAAAAGGTTTAACATGGTGACCTAATTGCCACAGCAAGAGCTGAGCTTGATAAAGGATGTTAAAGAATTGCACTTTCTGGCTCCATTTGACTCCATGGGAGAAAACTTCTCCCTGAAATGTGAATTTAAATTGTTTATAAGTCTTCCCCCTTCAAATGTAATTCTGCATGGCCACAACACAGCATCATGGAGTAAAGGAAATTATGTGATACAAAGCAAGGGTGCAAAAGAAGGACCTCCAGAGAAAATAAAACCTTGGTAGATGGAGAAATATCTAGTGGAAGGTGCCAGCTAACACACTACTTAGTGATTTGAGACCTTCCTCTCTTTCTGCTTGGTGGGTGCTGAGTGTCTCACTCCTCATCATTCATTATGGAATGTCCATCCACACCACACATTCATCCAGTATAAAGCCACTGGAGTCAGCCAGCTGCAAATATGAAACCTGAATGAGATCTGGGTTGGCTGATAAAATGTTGGACCAACAAGATCAGAGGTTTGATCCAAGGGTATTGGTGTCCAACTTTTGGCAAATCATGAAGACAAGAAGAAACGGCCTAAAGTTGTACCAGGAGAGATTTCTATTAGATATTAGGAAAAATTTCCTCACTGAAACAGTGGTCAGCCATCGGAACAGGCTACCCAGGGAGTGGTGGAATCACCATTCCTGGAAGTGTTCAAAAGGCATGTGGATGTGACACTTGGGGACATGGTTTAGTGGTGAATGTGGTGGTGTTGGGTGAACAGTTGGACTCCATGATCTTAGAGGCATTTTCCAAGCTTAATGATTCCATGAAATCTATGACACTATGTGGAGACCTCTGTGGAAAAAGAATGACTAATCATGAGTGAGATACGTGGCTACAACACGTCTCTTGATGTCCTCAGCTGCATGGACAAAGAGGTGCATATAAATCTGTGGTGGCCTCCCATAAACCCAGGCTGGGTCTTTGACCAGACATCTGTGCTTGGCTCAAGCCTAAACTAAGAAATCTACCAAGTCTCCATTGACATCTTTCATGTCATGTCATGTGAGCAGATGCATGATGAAAGAGAGAAATATGGACTGGAAAAGTGAAGGGGCCATAACTGAGCACCAAAAGGTGAACTGCGGGGCCAGGAGTGGGTTTAACAGTGAGGTTCCTTAAGGACTAGTCAGCATTTCCTAATGATCTGTGTAAAAATGAGAGGAGAATAGCTGACCGTGGCTGACCACGATAGAAACTGGAGGAAAATCAATATCAGAATAGGAGATAGAAAGTTCACTGAGTTATAAAATGCTACTGGCCTTCAGCTGCAATGGAGTACATATGCTCTGCTCACATAGGGAAGGAAATGAGGTCTCTGTTTTATGATCTGCCCTCCTGTACTTTTGGGGCCCCTTGGGCTGTGCAGTGCTGAAGGTGGAGGTGAAACCAGTGGGTTGGCTTCCAAGGCCATTCTTGCACGCAAAGAGTGTAAGGAAACCCTCACATCTGAAGTTCAGTCACAGAAGGCCAAATCTGCTGCTGTTATTCATTGCAGAGAGCCACTGACTTCAGCAAGGCACCATAAATACCTGTTAACAAAGTGTCTGACCTG